TTCATATTACTTTTTATTAAGTTTGTTGTCTGTGTGCATGCATTCTGTCTTTTATTTAATGTTGTAATTTTTTTTTTAAATGTAATCTTTTCTTAAAAAATTACATTTTAAAGAAATTTTAAAAAATTACATTTTTTTAAAAAAACGTTTTTTTAAAAAAAAAAAGGAAAAACTTTTTTCTCAAAAAACCAAAAAACTTAGTCACGGATCTGGTCCGTGACTAAGCTTTTTAGTTCGGAATTCTTTTATAAATTTAAAATTTATTTTTTTTATAAAAAAATTTTAGTCACGGATTTATGACCGTGACTAATACGAAATTTCAAAAATTTAAAAATAGGAACTGCGGTTTTTTAAAAATTTTCAAAATTTGAAAACTTAGTCACGGATATTTCCGTGACTAATTTGGCCGCATTTTAAAAAAAAATATTTAATCACGGACGCGTCCGTGACTAAATTTTTTTAAAAAAAATTAAAAAAATGTAGTCACGGATCTTAGCCGTGACAAAAGTGCCGGAGTAGCTATTTCGGTGACAGATTAGTCACGAATCTAGTCCGTGACTAATCCGTGACTCTATTTAGTCACGGACTATTTGGCGTGACTAAATTTAGTCACGCCCAAACAGTCACGGATTTAGTCACGGACAAAATCCGTGACTAAAGGAGTTAGTCACGGATTTTTTAAACAAGGATCCGTGACTAAATCCGTGACTACAACCGAATTTTTTTAGTGTATTAAGTACAATATTATATATGGCTACGAATTAATTTTAAAACTAAAGTCAAGTGGGGCGAATACTACGTGCTCACATTTATATTTAAAGTATATGCAAAAATATTAAGGTAGAAATTGATAAAGTATCATTTTTTTTTGTAAGCCCTGACACTACAAATGCCTATCTTTCATACATAATCAAGCGAGGTTGAAAACCCCCAAAAAAGTCATACAATAAATCAGAAGGGAAAACATGATCATTCCTAGACCAGCTAAATATTCACCAGTCTGGTTGCCTTCCCGATAAATGTATTTAACCTTAATCATCCATCCAGTCTCGATCCAAGCCACAACAGAAGCTGGATTGCAGCACATGAATCAGCTGCACTAGTAGTGCCTTCTTATATCCGTTCTTCCAAACCAACTGCAACCCTGTTACGTCGGCTCTCAATTCAGCCTTGATGATCGAGCAGATCTCAAGGTTCATGCTATTAGCTGGCAAGCAACGAGCATCATTGCCGCATCGGTAGCCCCATGTCCCCTAAGTTATATACTTACATTGTTTTAAGGTAGAAAATATGAGATGTGTGAAATTAATCTTTATAACTTTTTTTCAATTTGCTCATCATTTTTATCTAAAATATTACACTACCATCGTTATTATTTATATATTCTTTTATTTTTGACATAAATGTAAACTAATTTACAAGAAGGGTGAAATTACGATAACTGCCATATGATCGAATAATGTATTATACTGTTATTTAAAATATATTCTTAAAATAAAATTCACATAATACAAAATCATCAAATTAGATCATGCCGGAACAAATATGATTGTATAAAATTAGACTACACAGAAGCAAACAGAACTATACAATTTAAGCCAAACTAAATCAAATTAAACCAGTTGAGATTAGATCCTACAAATTACTGTGAAGTCTAATCAAACACTGTCTCAATCAGATTTACCCTAGGAAGCACGGAAACTCTCCATGGCTCACGTTTCCACGTTTCAGAAACTTGGAAGCGTTTCGGAAACTCGGAAACTTCAAAATCTCGTTTCGGGGCCGTTTCCGTAATTAAGAAAAATTTGCAAACCCGTTTCACTACGTTTCGGAAACCTCGGATTCCAATTTTTTTTCAAAAGATTCTGTGGTGGAAAATAATTTTTTATAGTGAATTTTTGTGGTATTTCTCAGCGGCAACACTTGTTACATTTCGTAACGCAATGTATTGCTAGAAATGTATTACTCCGTACATTTTATGTTTAATTATGTACTAATATGAAATAATATCTAAATTCGAACATGTAGAGTGATTTTATTATTTTGTTACTAAACAAATTATATATAAAAAACATGTGCATATGGAAAAACTTGTGTACATATATTAAAAAATATTTATAAATATATCCTTATATTTTATAATATTTACGCGTTTCCCCCACGTTTCGTGTCCTATATTTTTTAGAAATTACGTTTCTCGCGTTTCCCGTTTCCCGTTTCACGTTTCCCGTTTCCCGTTTCCGTGCTACTTAGGATCATTTACCCTTTCTATTGTGTTATATGAATACTGCTAACCTTTTCTATTTTTTGTAATGAACTAATGACTGTTATTACTGGTCGTTATTAGTGTGAAATAATGGGAAAGGTTACCCAATAGGGTACCTGGAAGATATATTTATACTAATAAAAGTTTCCAAAGATACAAAGGATTCCTAATTTAATATTAGGCTATTACACCCCCTCAAACTGTGCGGGAGATACAACGCGCAGGTTGTCCTTTAAAAAATGAAATTGCTGACTAGAGAGACTTTTAGTAAATATATCTGCTAACTGAAGACTGGTAGGAACATATTTAACAACAAGATCACCGTGAGCCACACGTTCACGAACAAAGTGATAATCTATCTGGATATGCTTACTCCGAGCATGCTGAACAGGATTGGCCGTTAAGTAGGAAGCAGAGATGTTGTCACAAAACAAACGTACCGGTGCTGTGACTGGAAAACCAAGCTCGAATAGAATGGACCGAATGTGTATTGTGTCCTGCACCGTGTAGGCAATGGCTCGATACTCTGCTTCTGTAGAGGATTTGGAAACAGTAGGTTGCTTCTTTGACTTCCAAGATACAAGATTTGGCCCAAGAAATACTGCGTACCCGGTGGTGGATCGAGAGGTATCGGGACATCCGGCCCAATCTGCATCTGAATATGCCATAATGCAGGTCGCCTTAGGTGTAGGCTGAAGCCATAGACCATGATCAATGGTACCCTGCAAATATCTAAAAATCCTCTTGACAGCAAAAAGATGAGTGGTACGTGGGGCATGCATAAATTGAGAAACCAAATGCACAGCATAAGTAATGTCAGGTCTTGTCAAAGTTAAATACTGTAATGCACCTACCATACTGCGATACTCAGTCGCATCTGCAAGGAGCTCGCCATCAGTGAGAGATAAGGAAGTACGAGACGCAAGGGGAGTGCGAACTGGCTTGACAGTATGTAAATGAAAGCGAGATAAAAGGTCAGACACATATTTATGCTGGGAGAGAAACAAACCTTTAGGATTACGAATGGCCTGAATGCCAAGAAAATAATGAAGATCACCCAAGTCTTTCATGGAAAAATGGTGAGCAATAAGATGAATGAACTGAGTGACAACAGATGAGGAATTGCCAGTAATAATAATGTCATCCACATATAGTAACAAATAAATAATCGAAGTGCCCTGGCGGTAAATGAATAGAGAGTTATCCGACTTACTACATAAAAAATTATGAGAAAGTAAGAAACTACTGAACCTATGAAACCATGCCCGCGGGGCCTGCTTAAGACCATAAATAGCCTTGCGCAGACGACATAAATGATGAGGATACTGAGGATGAATAAAACCCCGCGGCTGACGCATATAAACTTCTTCAGTAAGATGACCATGAAGGAAAGCATTTTTAACATCTAGCTGACGCATAACCCACCCGAATGAAATAGCTAACGTGAGAACAGTACGAACAGTGGTGGGTTTAATAACAGGACTAAACGTTTCAGAAAAATCTACACCAGCCTGCTGATTAAACCCCTGAGCAACTAACCGTGCCTTGTGGCGCTCAATAGACCCATCTGAAAGAAATTTTGTCTTATAAATCCACTTAGAGCCAACAATATTTTTAGAGTTATCAAAAGGTACCAAATCCCAAGTGTGGTTAGCAATAAGTGCATTAAATTCCTCAGCCATAGCCTTACGCCATATCAAGTGTTTATTTGCCTCAGAAAAACAAGTAGGATCTGCTGAAAGAACAACCGTGTTTAAATTAAAAATAGTTTTTGGTTTAAAAATTCCAGATTTTGCCCGAGTTTGCATCGGGTGGACATTAACAGGGGAAGGGGGTTGCTGTTCGGGCTCGGCTTCTGGACTGGGTACGGTGTTTGTAGATGGGGTGATAGGTGGGTTGTTCGGCTGAGATGGAGTGGGGTCAGATACAGGGCTGGTCGGTGGACTGGACTCAGCCGAGGAGAGTTCGAGCTGGCTTGTGTCCGTTGTAACGAGGTGTTCCGGAGTGGAGAAGTTGATCGGGCTGGGGTTTGCGGTTGGAGTGATCGGACATGCCGTATGGCGGGACTGAGGTGGCTGGTCTGGGATGGGCCGAGGATTCCGAGGAAGAGGTAAGAAAGCAGTTCGAGGATGATCGTTGGGAAGGGAGTCTGATCGGTTCCAGGAGGAAATAGGGAGGGGAGTTTGGGAGGTAGAAGGCGTGTTATGCATAGTAGAGGTCAAAGTGGTGTATGGAAAAATATTTTCACAAAAACGCACATGCCGACTTATGTATACTTTTCCGGTTTGAGGATCAAGACAACGATAACCTTTATAACCAGATGCATATCCTAGAAAAACACATTGAATGGATCGGGGAGAAAGTTTATTGGAGGAACTGGCAGAAATATTTGGAAAACACGCACAACCAAACACACGTAAAAGGGAATAATCAGGAGATTTTTGAAAAAGTTTTTCATAAGGAGAGTGACCAGACAACGTTGGAGTGGGTAATCTGTTAATAATATATACAGCCGTAAACAACGCATCAACCCAAAAATGACTAGGAAGAGATGCCTCAATAAGCATAGTTCTAGTTAGTTCAAGTAGATGACGATGTTTACGCTCAGCAAGCCCATTTTGTTGTGTCACGCCCCAGACCGCGTCTGTGCCACGTGGACAACCGTCGTACAACCCAATAAGAATAACTGCAGTTCATCCTTACCGAATTGCACAAGACGTCCGATAGATACATATGCCAAAACCGATTAGTAAACATACATAACAACATCAACATACAATCAAACACATAGCGGAATATAAGTGTTTAATAAGAACCCACACAAGGGTAAAACAAGAGCTCGCAGGCTCCATTAATTTATAAGTCAAAATAGTTCCATGAGCATTATTTAATTATTTAAAAATGGAACGAGAGGAAACACGAACCACGTCTTCTCTCCATCGATCTCCCGAGCAACGGGTGCAGGAAGTAAGCTCTAGCTTCAACCTGAAAGGGTGGTTCCCCCGAGGGATCAGTACTACAGAAAAGTACTGGTGAGGGCAAACTGTATGTAATGTAACTAACGTTTCTCACGTGAGACCCTCAAAATAGGGTGATAGTATAATTATGGGCATAACTCTTAGCTACCCCTTTTCAAAACAAAATGTATACATATATACATATGAGTAAAATATCCGGCCCGTGGGCCCATTTGTCTTTCAAATCATTTAGGCATAATAGCCTCATTAAATTCACCCTTCCCATGTCTTACCCTCGAGTGGAGTCACCCGCAGGCTGACTCACCCGATATTAAAATATATCTTCTTGTGGGGCCCTTCGGACTCCCATATCACAGACATGGTTTAAATCAATCCCTAGACCAAGGAAAATATTATATCGGGAACTCGTTCCCGATCAAGCACGTTTAATCATTTAAAATCATTACTTCGAGGTTCACCTACCTCGAGGACTATCCGTCCTTGCTATCATAGTTTTCATTTCCGGGTTAACCCCGCCTCGAGGAGTACGCATACACCCTCATCCTATGTGTAATTTACTGGAGGTTAACACACCTCAAGGACTACACGGGCCCTTGTTACCTATATGCACTTTGATGGAGGTTAACACACCTCAAGGACTGCATTTGCCCTTGTTACCTATATGCAATTTGATGGAGGTTAAACACACCTCAAGGACTGCACGGGCCCTTGTTACCTATATGCAATTTGATGGAGGTTAATCACACCTCAAGGACTGCATTTGCCCTTGTTACCTATATGCAATTTGATGGAGGTTAAACACACCTCAAGGACTGCATTTGCCCTTGTTACCTATATGCAATTTGATGGAGGTTAAACACACCTCAAGGACTGCATTTGCCCTTGTTACCTATATGCAATTTGATGGAGGTTAAACACACCTCAAGGACTGCACGGGCCCTTGTTAACGTTTGAGTGTAGAGGACTCCTCCTGGTCCTACAGAGTATTATATAACCTTACTTGGTCCCGGGTATTCACCCGCCATGTATAATCTACCACGTACCTCGCCCGGTCGTGGTCTATAATTTCTTTACTAACGACTAGTCCAAGTCTTAGCGTTTAAACCGTATTCCAAGCCTTATCATTTTAAACATCATATTTCATGCAATTCCATGCAAAATATTCATATATAGGATGACCAGAATTAATCCCACGTCGAACCGGGTCCGATTTGGGTTTTTAGCAAAAATCAGTCCTGAAAGCCGAGACATAACCGGCGCCGGTTTTACCCATAACCGGCGCCGGTTTACTGATTTTCTTGAGTAAACCGAACCATAACCGGCACCGGTTTTGCCTATAACCGGCGCCGGTTATCCCTTGGGCAACCGGTCAACATTTTGGTCAACGCCCGTTTGACCATCCAAACGGGGTCCGATTTCCACGAAATTTTATACGCTTATGCAACAAGTCATTCTTAGTCCAAAAATATCATTTTAGACGTCCAAATCATCACACATAATTTATAATCATTTTCTATCCAAATTAAAGCATATTAAGTATACTTATTAATACTATTAATAAGTAATCTTGTCACAATACATTCTTAGATGCATTTGATCATTCAATGTAATATCATTCTGCCTCTTTTGAGTGATCTCATGCCTAATCCCTTAGCATGACTCATGATCCTCTCTTAAAACCTTTTATTCATACCATTAATTAATTAATCATTAATTATGTCATATTTCCATAAACCATAATTAATATGGCTAATCACAATGTCACATATCTTTTTATATATTACATTTACTAGATTACTCTAGTTAGTCACATGCATAGTCCAAGTATATCCTCTTATACATTTAAGAAATATATACTCATGATTAATTAATTAATCAATCTAATTTTCATTAATCATATAATACTTCCATAATCCATATTTAATATGGATAATCACAAGTTCACATATATTTTCATGTATTCATTCACTAGATTACTCTAGTTAGTCTCATACATAGTCCAAGTATACCTTCTTATTCATTTAAGAAAAGTATACTCATGATTAATTAATAAATTAATCTATTTTTCATTAATCATGTTCACCATGACTAATCATGCATTTTAATACATTTAATCATTCCTCAAATCATGGTTATGATTTTATTTAGGTAATCTCACGTTTGAACCAAGAGTTACAAGACACGTAGTCGTCCACTCACCTCGAAATGACGCTAGCAAGCTTTTATCCTCTTTGTTTGAACTCCGGTGACTTTTGGAATTTTCCGGCGAAACTCCGGCGGCTCCGGCGACTTCCCGGCCACTCCTAGATTCCTCGAGAAGTCTAGAATACCTTGGTAAAATTCCTAACAAGTTTTCACAACCAAAAGTGGTATAAATGTCAAAACCTTCCGAGAAGGTGTTTCCCGGTGAACCGGTCTTACTCCGGCCATAACTCCGTTCATGGTTAAACTTAACCTTCCAAACCCTCATTCAACACCTCTAGAAGTGTATCATATGATTTATAAAATCATATGAGATTAAATGAAGGAAGAAAAATACTAATGAAGTCATTACCTTAATTTTTCTAAGTTTTTCTTTTCTTTCCCAAGCCTTTCTTCTTCCTTGAGTCTTCTTCAACCTTGAGCTCGGTTTTTTCTTGGCTATGGAGGTGTGTTTGCAGATGTTCTTCTCCTCTTGATGGTGCTGGCCGAGTGGGTGATTGGGGGGAAGAGAGATTGATGCATTTTGGCTCATACCACCAATAATAATAAAGGAAAAGGGTCCACATATGTCTCTCATTCATGCTTATCACTTCAAGTCAACTTCTCATCTCCTTCCTACCATTGTACAGCCATCCTTTTGTCTACTTTGCTGAATAATTTCGTAGGTGGCCCCCACCCATGTGGGAGGTCATCCCTTTATGTCCCAAAGTGTACATTCGGTCCCGAAAGTTGTATTTTCTGGACTGTTTTAATTATATTTTATTTAATCGGGTCAAATAAAATATATATCATTCTTCCAATTAATATTGGCTTCTAAAATGATTATATATTACCCAACTTTAATTTAGTGGTCCCCGGAATTTATTTCGGACTGTTATCTGATTAATTAACTATACCGATAATGGGACCTTGTTTGATTGAAAGGCCAACTTTATGGCTCAACATTAATTTACACCATCATATAAATATTATCTAAACCAAGATGAATATAATATGTGGTCCGTAAATATCGGATGGTCGCCGCCCACGTGTGGGCCCAACGTGTATTTTACTGTTCAAGTAACAGTAAAAATGAGAACGCGTTGCCTCGAAAATTCACTCGTCATTTCTCATTACTTAATATATGTGGTTTCATATTTGGTGACACTTTAATAAAATGTTACACTTATTTTTAAGTGGTCCGAACTGCATGAACAGATAAAATCTTATATGTTTATTCTTATATGAAAATATCTTCAAGGTAGGGTCCTCCAAAAGTACCCACCTCCAACATGTCAACTTACTCATTATTATCCATCATCCCATATTTTGAGTTCTTAAAATATTTATATTCCTTCTGTTATTAATTCGTAGCCTTCCGAATTATTATTAATCCGATAATTAATGATTCACAATTATCAGATAGAGACCCCGGCCCGCTTGGCCATCTAGTTGTCGTTCTTTATATCATTGGGGTCCACCACCCATACCTATTATCATAATAGTATCGTTTTGGAAAACAATAATATTTTATAAAGTTGAAATACCACGAGTGGTCCCACATCTAAATTAATAACCCTTTATTAATTTAGGACAAAATTTTTACTTTCTCATTTATCAAGACTACTCTTAGCCTTGATTTACTTTCTTTAACCCAGTACTTGATGAAAAAAATTTCTCACAGTAAAATTCGGATCTGGTGTTACAAGTTCACCCCACCTTACAGGAATTTCGTCCCCGAAATTAACGTCTGAACCTTGAGAAACATTTCTCCCTTCATTTTCTGAAGCTAAAATTTTGAACATAAAAATATTTATTGAAATTAAGGTTTAATTCAATAATACCTTATGCCATGGTCGGGCCTAACAAATGGCTTCCGCCATTCCCGGCCTTCACGAGCGAGTTCGCCATTGACTTGTAGAAGGTACCATGTTTGAGGCAACCCTAGTTGGGTTTTCAACCCCCGTGACCCCTCCTCTAGCTTCTGATGTTCCTTCACGCGTACGTTGAGGACAAAGAACCTTAATGTGGCCTGTTTCTCCACAAAAGTAACATCTAGATGGCTCTCGACATCTCCCGTAGTGCCTTCGCCTACAATTCTCACATTTGGGTGCCCCCGTGCCCCGAGTGCTTGAGCTTTGACTTACCAAGTTCTGACTCTCACTGAAAAACGGAACTAACTTGTTAGAGTCCCCCTTGCTCTGAGGTTCATACTTCCCCTCTCGTCGTGGAGGGTGAATCATCACCTGATCTCTTTCTTGTGCTTCCTTTGCATCCCTTGCTTGCCTTTCCTTCCAAAGCTCCTCCCCCTGGAGACCTTGGGCTACTACTTGACTAAAAGTCATGTCGAATTGGTAGGTCGCTCTTTCGCGTATTTCCAAATTGAGTGCATTCCAAAAATGGTTTGCCATTCGGTTCTCATTTGCGGCATACTCAGGCAAGAACCTTGCCAGATGTCGGAATCTTTGTTCCAGTTGCTTCACCGTAAACTCATTTCCCTGTTTGAGATCGATATATTCCCTCCTCTTTCGATTTACTTCGAAAGTGGTGTAAAACTGCTCATAAAATGTTTGCTCGAAGTTGTCCCACGTGACAACCCCGTCAAACTTACCCTTGGTGCCCTCCCACCAAGTAGAAGCTAAACCCTCCAATAATCTAGTGGCTACCCTTAACTTTCGTTCAGGGACCACCTGCATGTCATCAGCTGCATCATTTAACCTTTTTATCCACTCGGCTGCTTCCGATATGTCCTCCATCCCATCAAATGGTTTGCACCCCAAGGCTCTAGCCTCTTTGAGGTATTTTGAGATCTTAAAGAATGGTTCTTCGCCATCAGAACATCTGATTGTCCTAACCCGTGCTCTATGAGCACCCCAACCCCTCCTGAGAGAGGTCTCGCCTCTGACCAGTCCCTCCTGACATCCCTGTCGTTGTCTTCCCCTTTTACGTTGGTACCATCGGTACATCTCACTAACATGGTCAGGAGGAATACTATGTATATCCTCTCCACTGTTTTCCTGAAAAGAAGTTTCATCTGACTCGCTTTCAGGGTGATAAGTTGAGTCATCCTCCGAGTTCCACGACTCGAATTCAGTCACATTGTGATCAGCCATCGCAGCTCGTGTTCGTGGGCCTTGATTGCCCATACCTCGCCTTTTACGTGACCTTGATATCCCCCGATTGGCTTGCCCGGTTATCCCCGATGCGCGCCCTCTCGGATTTCCTCGAACCGCCCTATCACTACCACCCATTCCTGAAAGAATATGTTGGAATGAGTCTTTGGACTCGTTTGAAAGTCAATTGACAGAAACGTACTCAAGACACAACTTGGCTCAAGTCACTGCCATACCAATTGTTAAGGGGCCCATCTTAACAACCAGAGACCTTGCAACTCGATAACCAAATGCTCTTAAAGTACAAAACTTATGCTCATGGTTTTTCATTGAAAACTGTTTTGATAGAAACTCTGTTGAGAGGTTGACTATATAGTTTAGAAATCGTCTGGCTCTGATACCACTTAATTGTCACGCCCCAGACCGCGTCTGTGCCACGTGGACAACCGTCGTACAACCCAATAAGAATAACTGCAGTTCATCCTTACCGAATTGCACAAGACGTCCGATAGATACATATGCCAAAACCGATTAGTAAACATACATAACAACATCAACATACAATCAAACACATAGCGGAATATAAGTGTTTAATAAGAACCCACACAAGGGTAAAACAAGAGCTCGCAGGCTCCATTAATTTATAAGTCAAAATAGTTCCATGAGCATTATTTAATTATTTAAAAATGGAACGAGAGGAAACACGAACCACGTCTTCTCTCCATCGATCTCCCGAGCAACGGGTGCAGGAAGTAAGCTCTAGCTTCAACCTGAAAGGGTGGTTCCCCCGAGGGATCAGTACTACAGAAAAGTACTGGTGAGGGCAAACTGTATGTAATGTAACTAACGTTTCTCACGTGAGACCCTCAAAATAGGGTGATAGTATAATTATGGGCATAACTCTTAGCTACCCCTTTTCAAAACAAAATGTATACATATATACATATGAGTAAAATATCCGGCCCGTGGGCCCATTTGTCTTTCAAATCATTTAGGCATAATAGCCTCATTAAATTCACCCTTCCCATGTCTTACCCTCGAGTGGAGTCACCCGCAGGCTGACTCACCCGATATTAAAATATATCTTCTTGTGGGGCCCTTCGGACTCCCATATCACAGACATGGTTTAAATCAATCCCTAGACCAAGGAAAATATTATATCGGGAACTCGTTCCCGATCAAGCACGTTTAATCATTTAAAATCATTACTTCGAGGTTCACCTACCTCGAGGACTATCCGTCCTTGCTATCATAGTTTTCATTTCCGGGTTAACCCCGCCTCGAGGAGTACGCATACACCCTCATCCTATGTGTAATTTACTGGAGGTTAACACACCTCAAGGACTACACGGGCCCTTGTTACCTATATGCACTTTGATGGAGGTTAACACACCTCAAGGACTGCATTTGCCCTTGTTACCTATATGCAATTTGATGGAGGTTAAACACACCTCAAGGACTGCACGGGCCCTTGTTACCTATATGCAATTTGATGGAGGTTAATCACACCTCAAGGACTGCATTTGCCCTTGTTACCTATATGCAATTTGATGGAGGTTAAACACACCTCAAGGACTGCATTTGCCCTTGTTACCTATATGCAATTTGATGGAGGTTAAACACACCTCAAGGACTGCATTTGCCCTTGTTACCTATATGCAATTTGATGGAGGTTAAACACACCTCAAGGACTGCACGGGCCCTTGTTAACGTTTGAGTGTAGAGGACTCCTCCTGGTCCTACAGAGTATTATATAACCTTACTTGGTCCCGGGTATTCACCCGCCATGTATAATCTACCACGTACCTCGCCCGGTCGTGGTCTATAATTTCTTTACTAACGACTAGTCCAAGTCTTAGCGTTTAAACCGTATTCCAAGCCTTATCATTTTAAACATCATATTTCATGCAATTCCATGCAAAATATTCATATATAGGATGACCAGAATTAATCCCACGTCGAACCGGGTCCGATTTGGGTTTTTAGCAAAAATCAGTCCTGAAAGCCGAGACATAACCGGCGCCGGTTTTACCCATAACCGGCGCCGGTTTACTGATTTTCTTGAGTAAACCGAACCATAACCGGCACCGGTTTTGCCTATAACCGGCGCCGGTTATCCCTTGGGCAACCGGTCAACATTTTGGTCAACGCCCGTTTGACCATCCAAACGGGGTCCGATTTCCACGAAATTTTATACGCTTATGCAACAAGTCATTCTTAGTCCAAAAATATCATTTTAGACGTCCAAATCATCACACATAATTTATAATCATTTTCTATCCAAATTAAAGCATATTAAGTATACTTATTAATACTATTAATAAGTAATCTTGTCACAATACATTCTTAGATGCATTTGATCATTCAATGTAATATCATTCTGCCTCTTTTGAGTGATCTCATGCCTAATCCCTTAGCATGACTCATGATCCTCTCTTAAAACCTTTTATTCATACCATTAATTAATTAATCATTAATTATGTCATATTTCCATAAACCATAATTAATATGGCTAATCACAATGTCACATATCTTTTTATATATTACATTTACTAGATTACTCTAGTTAGTCACATGCATAGTCCAAGTATATCCTCTTATACATTTAAGAAATATATACTCATGATTAATTAATTAATCAATCTAATTTTCATTAATCATATAATACTTCCATAATCCATATTTAATATGGATAATCACAAGTTCACATATATTTTCATGTATTCATTCACTAGATTACTCTAGTTAGTCTCATACATAGTCCAAGTATACCTTCTTATTCATTTAAGAAAAGTATACTCATGATTAATTAATAAATTAATCTATTTTTCATTAATCATGTTCACCATGACTAATCATGCATTTTAATACATTTAATCATTCCTCAAATCATGGTTATGATTTTATTTAGGTAATCTCACGTTTGAACCAAGAGTTACAAGACACGTAGTCGTCCACTCACCTCGAAATGACGCTAGCAAGCTTTTATCCTCTTTGTTTGAACTCCGGTGACTTTTGGAATTTTCCGGCGAAACTCCGGCGGCTCCGGCGACTTCCCGGCCACTCCTAGATTCCTCGAGAAGTCTAGAATACCTTGGTAAAATTCCTAACAAGTTTTCACAACCAAAAGTGGTATAAATGTCAAAACCTTCCGAGAAGGTGTTTCCCGGTGAACCGGTCTTACTCCGGCCATAACTCCGTTCATGGTTAAACTTAACCTTCCAAACCCTCATTCAACACCTCTAGAAGTGTATCATATGATTTATAAAATCATATGAGATTAAATGAAGGAAGAAAAATACTAATGAAGTCATTACCTTAATTTTTCTAAGTTTTTCTTTTCTTTCCCAAGCCTTTCTTCTTCCTTGAGTCTTCTTCAACCTTGAGCTCGGTTTTTTCTTGGCTATGGAGGTGTGTTTGCAGATGTTCTTCTCCTCTTGATGGTGCTGGCCGAGTGGGTGATTGGGGGGAAGAGAGATTGATGCATTTTGGCTCATACCACCAATAATAATAAAGGAAAAGGGTCCACATATGTCTCTCATTCATGCTTATCACTTCAAGTCAACTTCTCATCTCCTTCCTACCATTGTACAGCCATCCTTTTGTCTACTTTGCTGAATAATTTCGTAGGTGGCCCCCACCCATGTGGGAGGTCATCCCTTTATGTCCCAAAGTGTACATTCGGTCCCGAAAGTTGTATTTTCTGGACTGTTTTAATTATATTTTATTTAATCGGGTCAAATAAAATATATATCATTCTTCCAATTAATATTGGCTTCTAAAATGATTATATATTACCCAACTTTAATTTAGTGGTCCCCGGAATTTATTTCGGACTGTTATCTGATTAATTAACTATACCGATAATGGGACCTTGTTTGATTGAAAGGCCAACTTTATGGCTCAACATTAATTTACACCATCATATAAATATTATCTAAACCAAGATGAATATAATATGTGGTCCGTAAATATCGGATGGTCGCCGCCCACGTGTGGGCCCAACGTGTATTTTACTGTTCAAGTAACAGTAAAAATGAGAACGCGTTGCCTCGAAAATTCACTCGTCATTTCTCATTACTTAATATATGTGGTTTCATATTTGGTGACACTTTAATAAAATGTTACACTTATTTTTAAGTGGTCCGAACTGCATGAACAGATAAAATCTTATATGTTTATTCTTATATGAAAATATCTTCAAGGTAGGGTCCTCCAAAAGTACCCACCTCCAACATGTCAACTTACTCATTATTATCCATCATCCCATATTTTGAGTTCTTAAAATATTTATATTCCTTCTGTTATTAATTCGTAGCCTTCCGAATTATTATTAATCCGATAATTAATGATTCACAATTATCAGATAGAGACCCCGGCCCGCTTGGCCATCTAGTTGTCGTTCTTTATATCATTGGGGTCCACCACCCATACCTATTATCATAATAGTATCGTTTTGGAAAACAATAATATTTTATAAAGTTGAAATACCACGAGTGGTCCCACATCTAAATTAATAACCCTTTATTAATTTAGGACAAAATTTTTACTTTCTCATTTATCAAGACTACTCTTAGCCTTGATTTACTTTCTTTAACCCAGTACTTGATGAAAAAAATTTCTCACAGTAAAATTCGGATCTGGTGTTACATGTTGAGGAGTGTGAGGGCAAGATTTTTGAAAATAAATTCCATGAGTATCAAAAAATTGTTGCATATGAGAATTAACAAACTCACCCCCTCCATCACTTTGAAAAATTTTAATTCTAGAGTTAAAAAGATTTTCAACTAAAGATTTAAAAATTTTAAAAGAGTCAAAAACCTCGCTTTTATTACGTAATGGGTAAATCCATGTAAAACGAGAAAAATCATCAATAAAGCAGACATAATATTTAAATCCTAAATTAGAAAGAACAGGAGATTGCCACACATCAGAATGAATTAATTGTAAAACAGAGGAAGAAGTGTGAATAGCATCTGAAAAAGGTAATCGTTGAGACTTGCCTAAGCGGCAAGAAATACAGTCATGGGAAAAACTAGAGATATTACATATGCGTTTTTGACCACTTAAAATACGTAAAATATTTTCACCACAATGACCTAATCTACGATGCCACACAGGGCCGGTGGTGAGGACTGAAGATAAAGCTAGGCTAGATGGTGGACTCAGGCTGAGGGGATAGAGATGGCCATTAGTTGTTGCCCGAAGAAGAACCGCCCCCGAAATTTTGTCCTTAACAAAAAAGGAATTTTTGTCAAAAATAGCAACACAGTTGTTATCAGCACACAATTTTTGAATTGAAATTAAATTAAATTTAATATTAGGCACATGATAAACAGATTTCAATAGCAGTTGGCGGCCAGAGGAATTTAAAGAAATATCACCAACATGTTTTATAGGGAGTTGAGCACCATTAGCAACACTAACAATAGTTGGACCAGAATAAGTAGACTTATTTGTCAAAATACCTTCAGAGGAAGTCATATGAGCAGAGGCACCAGTGTCTGGATACCACAGAGCATCATTAGCTTGGCCGGTGAGAAGAACAGGTGCAGAGGGTGGAGAAAATCGGGACGGACAGCTGATTGCAGAATGACCTGCAGAGAAACAAATTTGACACACAACGGGAGGGGGAATTGCCCCAAGAATTCCCTCAGCAGATGAAGAGCCTGCAGACTTAACATTAGTATCACACAATGATATAGCAGCAGTATTTAAAGTGGACAAAACAGAATTACTTATAGCACCTGCATTTAGCGGTCGGAATTGTTGCTGCTGCCCTTGGCCGAAGGCCTGCTGCCCCGGACCAAATCCCTGCTGCCCCTGGCCGAAGGCCTGCTGTCCCGGACCAAAGCCCTGCTGCCCCGGTCCATTGTAAGGTTGCTGCTGACCGGAGTTGTTGGCCCCACGTCCTTGACCGAAGCCATGTTGTCCCCTGCCGCGAGCTGCCCTGCCACGACCCCCTCTGCCGCGGCTACCGCGGCCTCCACGCGGTGCAGCACCCCGTTCCTGTGCACCAAAAGCTTGATAGGCTGGAGGAGCAGTTTGTTGACGGAGAAAAAGGACTCGCTGTTCAGCCTCTAACAAGCTTCGGTGAAGTATGTCTGGCGGAAAATTATCAGGAAAAAGGGAAATAGTGCCCATAGTAGATTCATATTCCGGTCCAAGCCCCATAAGAGTGGTCTGAAGAATTTCTTTGTTGGACACCGGAGAATTGATTGCGGCCAATTCACCAACTAAATACTTAATTTCCCTTAAATAACTCTCCATGGATTGATTTTCCTTCTTTTTCATATTGGTCAGATTACGTTTAAGTTCCATAGAACGGGCCAAACTAGCAGAACGAAAACGAGTTTCAAGTCTTTCCCAAATCTCAAAGGCATGTTTAAGTTCATGTACATCAATTAAGACATCACGGGTAAGAGTAGCAAAAATCCATGAACGAATGGTTTGATCAACCCGTAACCAGTGATGATAATCAGTATTAATTATTTGGTGATTATTAAAATCAACCGTGTGCATGGGAGGAACCGGAGTGGATCCATCGAGAAAACTAAACAAACCTTGAGAGACGAGGAAAGATTCAAACTGAGTGCGCCATGTGATGTAATCTTCCACCGCTTTGAGCTTGATCGTCACAATTTGAGTAACATTGGAGATCGGAGAGATTGATTGAGCAACGGTCGCCATGGGAGATTGGAACAAAGTGTGATCTGTTGGGCGGGTGATGCCCGGTGCGCCGGAGAAGGTAGAACCGAAATACCCCGGACTGGAGCGTGGTGGAGGCAGCGGAGTAGAGTAGAGACCGGGGATGTCAGGAATTATAGGTGACTGCCATGGAAACACCGGTGGAAGTGATTGGAACAAGGAATATGTTCCTGGGACAGCCGCGGCGAAGGAAGAGGAAGCGGACTGCATAACCGGACTTGCTTGAGAGGCGGTCACCTGTTGCGGCACTGGCTGGCTTATGGCGGCGGTGGTGACGCTGACGGCTGCGGCGGTTGAAGCAGTAGAGACCGGCGCCGTGGTTGGAATAGAAGAAACGGTGGAAGCCGCCATAGAGGAGAATGAACTGGCGGCATCCATGGCCGAGGATGAGTTTGCGGCAGAAGAAGAAAAATCGGCCGAGCTCATCACGAGGGTTTAGAAGAGAGAGAGAAAAAAAAAATTAGGCTCTTGATACCATGTGAAATAATGGGAAAGGTTACCCAATAGGGTACCTGGAAGATATATTTATACTAATAAAAGTTTCCAAAGATACAAAGGATTCCTAATTTAATATTAGGCTATTAATTAGTACTTTAATCAATATCATAATCACAAGACTAATAATAAAAATAAAGATAACTGGTATATATGATTATGACGACAACGAAGATGATGATAAAAATAAAATGCTATAGATGTCTAACCGACTTAATCAAATGGCTCATTTGGTAGTTTGCACATTAAAATTTTACTTGAAAAATGATTTTAGGTAAACTTTAGGGGAGATATTCACTTTGTATTTAAAATAAAAATCAATTGTATATGTGTGTAATTTAATTTTTAATTACATGTAGTCATGGCATGAGTTTTTTCCCAATTTAATGCTAAACAAAAATGTATATCTCAAATTGAGGTAGGAATAAAAATATTTCACAACCTGCTGCTACAATTAAATATATAGTTAGTAGAGTATAGAACCGTGGAACTCCATTTAAAAATTTCCGTACCAAAAGAGGTAGAAACTAGAAAATAGCTTGGGTTCCATAAATTAAAAAAAAATCTTTTGTTTTTTAAAGTAATGTAACTTTTTTTATTTGTGCTCCGATTGTTCAAAAAATATATCAAAATTTATTTCTTTTTATTATTTTTCCTATGAGACCAATATTGGATATAAAAATAAAAATTTAAATTAGGCACTTTAAAAAAGTTATGTTTTTAAGTGCTATAATTGTTTAATTTGTACTCCGATTTATACAAAATATATATAATTTTTTTAACTTTTTTTTATTCTTCACACAACACCAATATTGCATATATAGAATTAAAAAAGCGAAAAAGGGTCAAATAGACCCTTGTACTATTGCAAAATAGTCATCTAAGCACATATATTAAAAAATGATCACATAGACACATTTGCTACTAAAAATCAATCAAACAGATCCATTGACCGGAAACTAACCTGCTATTACAGGTTAAAGGCATTTTTATTTATTTTTCTTTCTTCTCTTGCTTCGCAGTTGGCACTTCAAACACTCCATTGTTTGTTTTGTTTTTCTTTATTTCTCTCTTCCTTGTTTCTCAACCGTAAGCCACAGAAGAAAATTAGGTTCATTGTTCTCCTTAAAAAAAAACGTCACTTTCCTAACATTTAATTTTTTTAATTTGTTCTTTTTTCCCCTATTTCCTTTTCTATTTGTAGTCTTCTCCTAAGAAATTATTGTTTTGATATTTCTTTCTAATTATTTCAATAAACTATTATCTCGGACTCATCAATTGTTCATCCTAAAAAAAATAAAGATACAACTTGTTACTAAAGATTCTTTTATTGTTGGAGAATTTCACTTTCAATTTTTTTTAGTTATTGCTCATGTTCAAATGCTGTTTTTATTTTAAATTTGAATAACTATTAATTTTTATAACTTTGACAAGATTAAGATTGTAACTTTATACGCAAAAAAAGCACACTTTCCTACACAATTTCAAAATCAGCCGCACTTTTTTTTTTTTTTTTGTCTCTAAAGGTATATCATAAATAAAATTTGTTAGTCATAAAATTCACAAAGGCAATAATAGGAGTTCACAGAAAAAAGTTTTAGCCTGATTGAAAAAAGTATACTTGTCAACAGGGGCGGATCCTATTGAGGGCAGGGGTGGGCTCCAGCCCAGCCCAAAATTTTATTTTTTTATTAATATAGGTTAGGTTTAAATTTCAGCCCAGCCCAAGATTATTGTCAAGCCCACCCAATGTTCTAAAAGGCTTACAAAGGCACCACCTTAGCATATAGAAAGGCGGCCCAACGAAACTCAAACCCTTAAGCTGAAATAAGCTCAGCTGCCGTAAGCAGCAGCCCATGACAGTGAAGTTCGCGGCCTTCAATCAAAGAGAACAAGTGTTGTTATATTTATAGCTAGTTGGAATGAGGAGTTTGTCTACTCACCCGGTGTGGGAAATTCAAGTACTCCGTATAAGGAAGAATACAAACGAACATAACAAACCTCCTCCTAGAACATATTTAGTCTCTAACAATAGACT